TACAGTCAGTGTTTTGACGGCGGAACCTGGTAACCAAGGTCAAACAGATTATTGTTCTGAGGGGGGGGGGGGTGTATTTAAGAACTTTTCTCCGCTGAGAAAAACTTTGGCGCATGGTGAAAGTTTACAAATGACTTTATTTAAATAGAAGATAAAAAGCTCTTCAATTACAGCAAAATATTCAAGCCATATGCCCTCGTACAATGGGAATGGTATTTTACTGTAAAATACAGCGAATCATCTGGCTCCAAGTGTTTAATATAACTTTCAACTACGTTTCGATTCCAATGTTTGTTTATTCTTAAGCGTACTTTCAAGTAGATCAGTTGTTGAAAATAGGATCTTATATCTTGTACGAGTTCGTTGATTCTTGTTGGATACGCACGCGTGGATAAATTGTTCACTACTGCAGTCGTATGGCATTGTCTTTAAATTCGGCAAAATTCTAGACAAATTGTAGAAGAAGGATTTGTGAAAATTATTCTGACAATGACTGTTATTTCTTTTTGTTCCAAAATTGAAATGAACAATGTGTGTTGAATATTCTACAGGAATGAATTTCTTTAGCTCTTGGATCGTTTTCCATGTATCGCGAGGGAAAACGTTCAAAGTAGTTACAATAGGTGTTGCCTTCAAACATTCAGATAATAATCGACGATCGTCAGATGACATGTTATTAGAATCAATATATATTGTCTTTTCTTCTCACTTTGATATAGTTTTGAATAATTGTTCAGATTTTGGTACAGTGTAAAAGATGTAAGTGAATTCTGCATTCGGTCCAAACAGGCCCCATCCAGCATAATCATCATCATCAAAACCATAACCAATTCCTACATATCTATTATACTTAAATATCTGTTGATTAGTCAAGTTTTTTACTAGACGTTGAAAACTGTCAATATTCGTGAATGAATCACAACGGAATTAACAAGTTTTCCACAGAATACTAAAGGGAAATTAACATCTTTCATCCCAAATTAAACAGTGTTCTCACGAAAAAAAAAAAGAATCAAAATATCAACCTTGAAGATCCTCAAATATCCTTTTCATTAGCATACTCGTCTCCCTTCCAACTAGAGGCGTAAACCGTGCGGTTGAGTCATCGCCGCCGAAATTCCAATGCAAAACTCGTTTTTTATCTATTTTCATTTATGTTTGTGTTGGGAATTTTTTTCTTAACTTTTTCGATTGTTAATATGTACGGAAAATTAATACTCTGTATCCAGAACAATAGAAGTGCAAAGCACTTTTATTAATGTTGGCAGTTTGAGTTTTTATCTATGTCTGAATCTATTCTCCGATGGAAGAAGTTTTCATAATGTTGATAAGTCTTTTTACAGGTGTAGATGTGTGTTAAAATAACATGAATCCACACTCAGACTCAGATCCAAAGCCATATCCACACTCCTACACCTTTGAAGGACATCCTATTCTTTTATCAATCTTCATGGTCGAATTATGCAATAAACATTCGTAATTTCACTACTAAGATATTACCAATTGGAAACATAGATTACAATGTAGCTCACGGATCCCCTGCATGTATAAAAATTGTTTGTCTAATTGCTGTACGTATCCCGACAGCATTTTGTAGTCTTATCAAAAATTAGTACAATGAAGATAATTTGAAATGTGCATTGTTTTATCCGAGTAAACAACATAATGTTCCATAACGTGCTACTTGCTTAACAATTCTATCATTGCTGGATGAGTTAACATTTGACTTACGTGAGATGTTCATTGAAACTGTACGTGATGATCCACGTGTTCAAAACCAGTTTCATAAATGTATAACATGTATTCATTCTAGTAAAGATGAGAATGCCATTTTAAATCTTTTATCATCTTTTTTGAAATAAAAATCCATGAATGTTCGACTTATAACAGTTAGAATACTTCTTTGTCATACTCAATTATCTATTATTTCATCTAAACAAGTTCAAACTATATTGGACGATCTTATGTTAGATTCTAATTCAAATGAAGATCTATGCTGAATTGAAGAGCAAGATTATCTCGTGGCAAAACTTGAATACTATAATGCTGGTCCATTAAAAGTTGTTATTTATTTACTTCTGGTTGAAAAATATAACTGAACGTAAAAGTGACCTTGTTCGAAAAGATGGATTCAATGATATAGTTTTGGGTTTTGTAGAATCTGGAAACGTATCACGTCTCGCGTCATGTATCTATTAGAAAAACATCTGAAGACATCGTGAAATGAAAAAAAAATTCTTTTTTTCCCCTTAACATAGATCCAATGAAGGAAAAAAACAAAAAATGTCTTCATTTCCAGAACAATTTGTTATCTCCCTGTAAAGTGAAAATGAATAATTTTTGAGTTTTTACGAGGTACATTGTGCATTGTATAAAATTAATTAAAATATTGTCAAACGACGGTAAATGTGCCTATATAATAAACAATATTTTGATATAAATCAATGCCATGAACTTATGCGTAGAATGAATCCGAACGCTTGAAATCGAGTTCGATCTTGATTGTGATCATTTTCAGTTAATTAATAAAAATATGTAGAAGTAAGACAAAATAAAGAGTTTCATGTTTGACTATGGTACAACACTTACACATTGTAGAATGAGTGATTCAGAAACCGGAAGTCTGCGGACATACTAAAAACAGTTAACAAAGTCCAGAAATCTTGGAATCGGTAGTTATTCAAACGTCAGAGTGCTTCTATACTGTAAAAAATAGATTTTTTTATCGTATCTGTGCTCAAGGGAAGAACCTTTTCGGTTTCGTACGAAACTACCGAACCTTGTTTACTTCCGCACGAAAATTGGTGAGCTTTTCTAAGTTCGTTTACAAGATACCAGCCGAGGGGCCCTGTAAAAAAGTAGTGATTGTTTTCAATGATAACGAATAAAACATTATCTTTCTCTAGTTGCATGTATATGTATATCAGTTTACATGCTGCACGAAGAGAGAAAAAAGAAATCATCTACTTTGTCCAAGGCCAAAACCAATCCTTTGTAAGCATCATGACGATAAATAAAAGGTCAACAAGATAAATCGTTTTCAAAAGTCAAAAATTTCTTTAGATAAATTAATTCAGTTACATATTAACGTGATTGTTTTCTCTCTTATATCATGTGCACATATGTATTGGGTGTGGGTGTAAGACGATAGAAGATCCACATCCAAAATATAAAAAATTGAAGAAGAAATCAAATTTACATAACGACAGAGTGAAAACGGTAATTTTTTTTGCATTTTTCTCAAAACAATTTTTTCATAAAAAAATAACAGATTCGTTCCCGTTCCTCCGGTGTATAAGTCCTATCAAGCTGAAAATTTTCCGCGTATAATAGACTGCTTGGGGTCGGTATTTTTTTCGCTTCAAAAAATATCGTTCCATTGATGTGTTTTCGCTGTGACAAAAAAGAATTATTAAAAAAACATGCGTTTTTTAAGGGTGCCTTAGATATTTTGACCTTTTTTTGTTCGAAGAACAAAAGATACTGGGAAACAAAAAAAGAATACCCAAGCCAGTGTCTAGTATCCGTAAGAAAAGTTTCAACTCGATCGAATGTAGCATTTTGGAGAAACGAGGATGAAAATTGAGATGATTTTTCGCCATTGCGAGCTCAGTATCATATAGAAGACCACTTTCTGGAATTTTGAGTCTCGGACAACTTTTGTTCTATTCATCGAGATCTGCCTGTCCTCAAAATTTCAAAATTTTCTGATGAGCCATTCTCCGAAAACCACAGAAAGAGCGTGGGGGTACGCATAAAGCTGAGGCAATATAATCGACTATCCTTATACCTTGAGATGAAAAGAGCTTTTGATAATATGAAATAAATATATAAAAGTGAAGAGATATTTCAATTTGATTTTATCAAATGCTAAGAATAGTTGTTATTATTATTTATATGAAGTTTGATCACTTTTAATGATTTTGCATGAGCACTTGCGAATCTCTTTTCTAAAATATCTTTACTCTTCTTGGAAACCGGATGAACAGAGCATATCTCATTAGTCGTAAAATCTCATGAAATTTTCTAATAGATTATATTAAGTTTTCTGGATTATACCATTAATCATATATGAGTTTATAGTAGACAAGTTAGCCTCATATGATGCCTTATACGAGTTTCGAGGAAGGTCGATGACTTTTCGGCAACCAAACGGATTTTCGAAAACTCAAAATGGATTTCCTGGTGCGAATGTGGGTGAATGTCTGTGAATAGAACATTCGAATGAATCACACACATCGGCATAGACAAGGACACCCCACACTTCCATCAGCAATACGAAACATTGTCGCGTGAATACAAACAAGGTGAACTTGACAATGAACATTTTTATTAAAAATCGAACGATCGTTTTGTAACTTTCGCTCGTAGTCCATATTTGGCACGCATGGTAATGCGTACGTCAGTTGTAATGTTCTGATTCGGTTCGATGGTAAAATCACATCGTTGCACGAGCATTGCCAATATGACTTTGGCTTCGAGCAAAGCAAAATTCTGACCGATACAATTACGTTGTCCGGCAGCGAATGGTAAATAACAGAACGGATGTGCTAATTTCGGTTTCAAACCAGATACTGGATCACGCAACCATCGTCTGTAGTCAAAAACAAGAGCTCGAGGCCAAAAATCTTCACGTCGATGAAGTAGATAGGTATTGAATGAAATGATTGAACCGACGGGAATACGTAATTGACGTTGACCTTCTTTACCAATCGTGTGTTCTCGAATACATTGTCTTGAAAAGAACGGCGCCGGAGGATAGAGACGAAGAGTTTCTTGTAAGACGGCTTCACAGATGATTAATTCATTCATGAGATCAGGCGTTGGCTTGGTGCCATTCGGTAGTACTTTGTCAACTTCTTCGCGACAAGCATGCCATACGTCTTCATGTGTCATAAGCACGTATATGGTCCATGTCATGAGATTGCCCGTGGTTTCATGCCCGGCTAGGACAAAGGTTAAGGCTTGCTCTTTGATTTCTTGATCACTAAAAGGTTTTCCTTCTTGATCGACAGCAGAAAGAAGAAAATCGAGAAGATCTTTACCACTGCAGAGACTGCTCGATTGTCCACATCGACGATCATCAATGAGTTGATCAACAAATCGACTAATGTCCTCGCATGCTTTATCTAAAAGACGTTTGTGCCAGAACGGCAGCCGAGCAACAATCGGAATTGAATCAATCATGCGCATCCCTCGATACTCAATTGCGTCAAGAACGTCAGTAAATGCTCGAGAAACAATTTCTTTAGCGTTTGCTACTGTTTCAAAACTTTGACCGAATGCGCTCGATGCAATTATTGTCAACGTCATAGAATTAAGTTCAGTTTGTATATCGATAAATTGCTTTTGAGTACAAGCTAAGACTATTTCATCGATGGATTTAGCTGTCTGCTTCGTCATAATGGATATCATCGATTGAAGATGAGTAAAATGAAACGCCGGATTGAGCATTTTTCGAGCACGCTCATGTTCGATCTCTTCACTTACTAATAAATTATGTATGCCGATGAGTGGAGCAAGTAGTCGAGCAAAATCAGACGGCTTTTGATAGTCGTGCGCATGTGAATGGCCCAAAATGTCGGCAATCAAATCGGGTTCGTTGACAATTAGTTCGATGTCTGGGCCGAAACCGATGAGATAGACATAGCCATGCTTTTGAACAAGACTCATTCGATAGGCCATTGAAGCATCATTCTGAACGGCACGATACAAGTCGCGCAGTTGACCAATGAGAGGCACAAATGGTTCGCCCGGTACGCCTTGTCGACGAAATTCATCGTAGAAACGTTTCGGTGAACGAATTAATTTCCAATAGACTAGAACAACAATTGAAATAATCAACACACCGACTGTATAGAGAACAGCAAGAAGAGTCATATTGCTTTTTTTTTCGTTTTTGCAAAGAATTGACGTGCAACTTCATAATATACGACGATGTTTAGTCGATGCAGCATGACTCTGCAAAATTGTTTCTTTTTCTTTTCTATGACTCGTGTTTAGCAATTCATTCTACTTAGTTTTATTACTGGCTGAATATTTTTTTTTCTCTTTTCTCGTCGAAGAACAATTAAACGTCGGATCATACTTCTTCGATAACGTCTTGCTGTCGAAACGTGAGTGTGGATGGGTGTAGATGCGGGGTGTGGGTGTCAGTGGGTGTGGCTGTGACTGTAGGTGCCTGGACGTGTGTGGGTGTAGGTGCCTGAGTGTAGCTGAAACAAACAACTGTAGCCACACCCACACCACGATGGATGGTAAGTTTGAAATTGAAGTATTCTTTCGAGAATAAGAAATTCCTGTTTATTTCAATCTCTGTGGTTAGAAATTCGACTGATGAAAAATGAAGGCAAAACGTTCGATCGCATATGTATGGATATCAGCAGCGGCGGCAGCAAAGCAACTAAAGTTGCTTTTCCGCAGTGGCGACTGCTGAAATATTCTTAAAAGTATGTATGATTTGGTGACTGTTGCGGCTTATTTTTCAGAAAAATCGACGGTGACGTTGGCTCAGCCGTACGGCTTTCACCTCTAAAGTCGGTAAGTAGTCCAAAAGCCAATTGACATATAGTTTTCACCAGCACAACGAAATTAGCTAAAGTATTGGATTGAGAGGTTTCAAACATCGCTTATTCAGACGAGCACTTCATACTAAAAAAAGGAGTAAAATTAGACAGGTGTCTTAATTCCTCACTAAAGTCATGAACAATCTCTTAAGGATTAATTCAAATATTTTCCAGGATCAGCAACACTTGTTTGCCGTACAAGCAGATAACAAAAAGAAGATGCAACTGTTTTTTGCGCCATGCAAGATCTAACTTTAAAGCAAAAAAAAGTTCCTTAGGATGCACCTGAGAGTTGCGCAACTTCACAAGTCGATTTCTTTGTCGTATATCTACCCATAATTGAAATATTAAACCTGCATAATTCCCAGATTGTCTACTCTATAAGACTTATTTTAATCATGAACGATACAGTTCTCTCTCTAGTGAGAAGAATCCCGTGAGTAATCACGTAGATAATCAATGATTCAAACAACGGCTTGATACGAATACATTGCTCATATAAAACAAAGCCGTCAGCTTTTAAGTAGTTGAAATATGACATAACAAATCAATCCTTTGTAGAAAACTGATATTCAAATATGTTGCTTGGTTTGAAAAAAAACTTGGAATTTAGTAAATAACACTAACGGCCAAATGGTGGCTGAATCTACACTATGCTTTAATTCAAATACTATATACTGAACAAAATACTCAGATGACATATGATTTATCAATAGATCATTAGATAAATGCATCATTTATATGGGCATCTTCTATTATTCAAACACCATGTTCAATTAACATTAGCTATTCATTTACTAAAGTTATGTTAAATAGTGTCATGGAAAGCGAACTACTTTTGTCAAAATGCAATGCAAGTAATTTGTTCAGTTCATACTGCATTTAGCAATTAATCAAACCTCTAACATCACGCGACAGATGAATTTGGCATACAAGTGTGTTTTTCAAATATGCTTTTCACTCTAAAATGAACATCTGTAATGCACAATATGTTCGACCGTGGTACAGCTTATGTATAATTTTAAGAAAAGTTTGAATCATATAACAGATTCACTTATATCAACTGTTTAATATGGTATCATTATCAAAAGTCATATCAGAGTTGAATCAATCAGACCATACTTCTATTCATTTACTCTCCTTTCTTCAAATAGAAAGTGTAATAACGGAAGATGTATTTGTTGATAATACACCAAATGATTCACTCACATCAGGTGACTGTTCAAGTATTTGGCATACAGATAGTCCAAGCTAATTACACTAAAAATTCAAGATAATCATTCGATATGTGGATCGTTCACAACAATATCCCATACAAATATTTATTCTGTATGAAATAAAAGTACAGCACACATGCTCAGAGTAGCAACCGTTCAATAAATGAACGATTCATAGGAAGGTTCTCTTTATATATTCTTCTCATGTCGAATTGAAATGAAACTATTTATGATCAGATATGACTATTCGTAGAAATGGCATGATTCACAGAAAGATTTCATTCAGATATTTGATTCATGTAAAAATGAAATTTGAAGCTAAAAATCTGATTGAATACATTGAGAAAAGCAGACAGCATAAACAATCACTGTATTCAAATTTTCGATCGTTTCGAAACATTGCTATGGAATATGGAATGTGATAAAAAAAGTACATGGCATATAAACGATATTAAGCAAGGTTCAATTCATGTATGCTGCTTACCATGGTTCAGTCGACCTCGAACCCTATCGATCTATGTGTTGTCGTTTAAAATGGCCGAATCACACGTTTGTGAATCAATCGCTTGCGCAGTTCACGCAGGTTGAAATTGAAATCGGCATTATCAGAATCATTTTCGACCAATTGTGATGCCGCCCATACTGTATTATATGCTACCACTAAGGAAATAATAAGCAATAGATAAACTAACTTGGTAGAATGATCCATAATATACTAGTGATGTTGAATAAAGTATAAAGAGAGGTGGTGAGTTTGTACGCTGTAAATATGAAATAAAATGATTGCATAAATATTCTCTTACCTTTAAATATGCATGGATAGACAAAAGAAAGAAGCTGCTTGAATATTTTTTTTTCTCTTTCTCTTTTTGTCTTGGTGAGGGTCAGTCGACCATAGCCATTATTTGTTTACAATAAAATTTATCCGAGATACTTTCAAGAATAAAAAATAAAGAGTCAACAAAAAAACAAATCTATCTCATCACACAAATGTTTTTTATCTGCGTAGAGAGAGAGAGAAAGAGTGATTCACATATAGATTATTTTTCTTATAGGGCTTTTTATGTGCCTTTAAGTTATACTGCAATCTTCACCTATTCATAATAATGATCGAGTGTCGTGACCGATTTCTACATAATCAAACCCATGAATCTCCCTTGCGCACAGTCATGCACCAAGTGAGAGTATTAACGATAGCGAAAAAAATACAGTTGCCTACCAAAATATGACGAAAACAATAACAAAATATTCTCTCTCATTCGTAACATTTTGTGTATAGATGTGTATGGATGGAACACAGCTTTGAAGCCAATTTTTCTATCGCATTTCGTTTCGCTGTTTCGATGAATGGTTCAATAATAAAACTTAACTTGTCAAAACACAATCGAATAAGCGAAGGACAGTATTAAACAACAGCATAGTATGACATCAACGAGAAATATTATTTTTTTAAATTAACCAAACAAATGATAGACAAATAACTCTAATGTACAGCAAGAAAAACCAATATTATGCTCTCTACGATCTATGATATAACTGATCAAACTTCGGCGATTTTTTTGCTAATATACGTTACCAATTTATTCATTAGAAAAGTCAAATTAAATGAGACGTTGCAGATATGAGTAGTACACTATGATACTAACTTATACTAAAACTTTCAGATAGAGACTAGCATTTGAACCTGAACATCAGATAATGCTTATACACAATTCATGAAGTTCAGCATATTTGCAGTGTTCTTTAACAATGACACTTGATTTTTGTCATCTTAATACTCTTTCTTTGAACGGTACCCTTTCCAAGATATCAATCGATGATTTCTGACAACTACTCGTGTTTATTATAACTTTATGTATCAGAGAAAACTTACAACAATATGAATTGTTACATTAGCAATACAAGGAAAAAAAGACATGTGAATTACTCAGTGAAGAATTAACTTCAGAATGATTTGAAGCCAATAACATCAGCAATTCTCATCGTAACACTGGCCAAGATGCTGTTTTCTTTGCACTGTATTGAGTTGAGGGTCGGTCATCGATGTTTTTCTGATGTTGTCTTCTCTAACAATGAACCTTTACACTGGTATACACGATAAGAAATAATGTACACTGTTCAATCTGTAAACGTGAGTTTCAGGTAGTGTCCTGTACGGGCACTACTTTTGGCATCCGAATCCGGTCCGGCGCTAATCAACATCTGACAAATACTTTTACAGTCATAGTACAGCTTTTAAACTTTTACTTGATACGAGAAACTATACTGTGTGGTTTTTTCCTATATAGTAACAATAGAAAAAAATCATCTCAAAATTCAGAGAAAGATTAGTGAATCAAATGATGCGGGATTCGTTTGAATTCTTTCTGCTTCTAAAATCCGATCAATTTCGCTAATTATATGTTTGAAATGGTTGTTGTTGAAACTTGAATTGAACATAATCTTGTTGCAAACGCCATACTCTTGAATACATAGATGAATGTTTTTTCTGACACGAAAATATACGTTCACGTTCTCGATAGTTCATTTTCCTCTCAATATATTCAGCTACTTCGTTATATGATACTTCTGCATCTGTAGATCAATTTTCATTAAAAACGAATTCTCTTTTAATCAAACAATATTGTTGTCCACTGCTGTGATTTGTTTTCAGGTATAATTAGTTGTTCAGCCATGATCAAATCGCTTTTTAATATTCTACTTTCAAATAAATAGGAGTTTGAAAAAGGAAATATATTTTAAAAACATCGAGATTTAATTAGCTGCCGGATCGAATGCCGGGTAATCGACTAGGTTACGGGACACTAATATAAATGAAAGAAAAAAAACATTCGCTCCAATTTACCATTACCAATACCTTATAATAGATTTTCATTTTCATAAGGTTCATTATAAATCTTAAAAGAAAAAACAACAGGAAATAACAATATATTGTTTATTAAGTATTTTTTTACGATATAAGATTTTACTAAATCTGTTCAGAGAAAAGTAACCCACTGTGCTTCTAATTTATTTCGTTAGTTAAAAGTTTCAGGATATTTTTTTTTCGTATGTTGTAACTATGATTTGGTTCATTTATAAGCGCGGAAGTGCATAG